GGGAGCCGGGAGTGAGTGAGGGGGAGCCGGGAGCGAGTGAAGGGAGCTGGGAGCGAATGAAGGGAGCCGGGAGCGAGTGAGGGGAACCGGGAGCGATGAGGAGAACCGGGAGCGAGTGAGGGGAGCTGGGAGCGTGTGGGAGGAACCGGGAGCGAGTGAGGGGGAACCGGGAGCGAGTGAAGGGAATCAGGAGCGAGTGAGGGGAACCGGGAGCGAGTGAGGGAGGACGCGGCGGCTCCACAGACTCCTCTCAGTGTCACGGCAGGGTTAACCCAGTGAGGAATCTGGTGCCACCTCCCCGCTGCAGCAGCGTCATCGCAGAGCACAGGACTCAAGATTGCTCAGCAGGGTCTGGAGTATCCCCAGGGAGGGAGACTCCGCAGCCTGTGTGGACAATCTGTTCCTGGGCAGGGGCTGCTGAGCCACCGCTCCTCTCTGTGCCCCGTCCAGGCGAGACCCCGGCGCACATCGGCGGCACCACCGTGTTCGGGGATAACGTGGAGGATGAGTGGTTCATTGTGTACCTGCTCCGGGAGATCACCAGGGAGTTCCCGGGGCTGGCAGCCAGGTAAGGCGGGCCCTGCTGAGGTGCTTTAGTGGGAGGGCTGCAAAGGGGCAGTGCCTATGCTGTGAAGGTCCTGTCTGAACATTCCCCGTCCTTGGAGCTGTTTCCCCATCCCATTCATGTTTGAGGTGTCCAAGGGCAGGTTGGATAGGGCTTGGTGCAGGCTGGGCTAGTGGAAGGTGTGCCTGCCTGTGGCAAGGGTGTTGGAACCAGATGATCTTCAAGGTCCCTTCTAACCTAAGCCTTTCTATGGGGGGTCTATGGATATTAAAAATCCTCAGCAGACATGGATTCAGAAGTGTGTTGTTGTGCTCTGCAAAGCTTTTCCTGCTAAGAAACTAATTTCTCCTTGGCCAGGATTGATGACAACGATGGAGAGTTTCTTTTGATAGAAGCTGCTGATTTTCTCCCAAAGTGGCTGAATCCTGAGAACAGTGAAAACAGGGTGAGTAAAACTTGTATACAATTGGCAAGGGGGCCACAGTAGCCTTTTATGTAGCAGCTGGAGTTTCTCTTGCACTTCTAGCCAAGTGGTCTGGCTGCCTCTGAAAATCCAGAGTGCTGTGTGTCCCTTACTGTTGCTCCCTTCAGGAGCACTCCTGTATCCACCTGAACTTTCTAGCTCTGCTGGAACCATTTGGATGATTTTTTTTTACCATGTTCAGGAGTGTTTAGGCAAGAGGATTTGCTGCCCTCAGAGCAGGGAATGCTCAGGGTTTGAGTGTTTCTGTCTCTGTAAGGACACAGGCTTTGTCTGGTACAGGCGAAATAATGAGCAGACACCTTCACCTGGGTATGGATGGTTGCTAATTGCAGTGGATCAAAATGGAAATAATTAATTTGGTCATTAACAAAATATTGTTTAATTATTTTTCCCCTACTCCAAGTTCCTAAAACGGGATGGAACACAACCCAAAAATTGATTGGAAGTGTGTACCTGGACTGTCAGGCTCATATTTTCATTTTGTTTGAGAGAACAGACAGAGTGAGGGAGTTGAGAACGTTGTAATCTGGAATCTGGGCTTTTCTTGGGATCAGGAACCAGGATAGGTCACATAGAGCACCTGAAGTAATGCTTTTTAATCCCTGTGATGTTCTGAAGCAGTTAGGTTATGCTGGTTCTCCTGAAGCACTTGTAGT